CCCTCGTAATTAAACGATTACTTGGCAGCCCTACAGGAGTAACCGATAAAATCCAGCTTTCGAGTAAATACACAATAAAACACCTCACATTTTTCGATCTCCATGTTCTTGCAATGGACTGCAACCTACACGAAAAGAAAAATCCATATTGAATGTATTAAGCAAACCACATAGATTTTTGCCATTGCTATCTTCGCATAGAGTGTATGCGCAATTCATATGACATTTATAAACCTTGTCAAAACAATTTTATAACATAGACTTATACATTTCAAGCGCATTCAAATATACTTGAGCCGGCATATGAATACTATATCGAAGAAAGTAATAATTTTATAAATCTCGCACATAATATTCATGGTACGGTTTATGGTTGGGATATACGAGAGGATTAATTAAATTGTTCCAAGCACCAATTTTTTAATGTAAAAAAAAAACTATTGAAAGCGAGAACTGGAAGTCCTAGCGTATCAAAAAACATTTTAATTGTTTGCATAATTTATAATACTTAACATATAAAAGTTGGTACAGAGAAATATTATTTAATACTAGTTTTACAAAATCTTATTTATACATCGTTATAAACACATTCTGCAGTACACAGAAGTGAAGTTGGTGGTTAAACATTCATTGTGTCGAAATCATGCTTTTTACGAAAATACATCTTACTATTAAGTTTGTGTGGCATAATCGGTGGACCATCAATTTCATCGATATTGAGAATACGGTAAACGCGACTTTTTTCGAGTGTTTCATATGCTAAATAATGTTCATCAAACAATCCTACGGTCCATGACAGTCCTACTATAAAAACGCTGGCAACATAAATAATTTCGAATAATTGTATCCTTAGCTGCTCGGTTACTGTTACATAAGTGCCTATCTTATATATAGTACCTTTGTATTTCAGATGAGATGCTTCTTGTAAGTTTTTTACCAAACTGGATTGGATATGGTGGAGGAATATTCTTGAAACAATCTTTCATCTCCAAATTACATGGTTTCACTGATCCTACTAACGAAAATTTAAAAAATACTTTATTAAAAACATCATGAGTGTATTGTAGAGCGGCTTTCATACATAGTGTATAACATATGTTTTTCCTCGATGAAATAACATGGGCATATTCTTTACATGGTTTGTGCTTAGCTTCGTATCGATAGTTCATCATTGAAATAACACTACCACTCATATTAATAACTGAACTATAATGGCATAGCAAATGTTGGTTTGGTTTAAGGCGCAGATTAAACAGTGACTGATATAGTTCGTGATGTTCTGAGCAGAGGTGGCGCAATTCCTGTAAATCTATCTCATTGAACGGTGGTGACAAAATTGTATCTGTAATTTTGACCAACACTTTACAAAAACGCCAAACCGGATCTGTACTTGGAACGAAAGGGCCCAAGATGAGCGTGAAATAATGAGTGAATGCTTTTAACTCTCTAGCGGTTGCCCTGATAACAATACTTTTTGATTTTGTTTGCTGTGAAAACATCTCATTTAAGTCTGGCATTCTTACTAGGGAAGTGTCTAAAGCAATTTTACTGAACATGGTTTTATGAACATTAAACATGTTGAGAGAAATGTATCGCTTTTGAAAAATACAATAGTTCAAAATTTCAGTTAAACCAGCAGTACATACTCCACCGCTAAAAAAGTCATGCATCGCATCAACGTACAAATTCTCGACAACATGAAAGAAAGGTAATTGATTGAATATTGATGGCCCTTTAATTCCTGTCTCTGATGGTTTATTAAGATTCACGTCACAATTTTAAGATTCGACTGTTCGAAGGCATTCAAAATGTTCTTTAGTATCAGTTTGACACTGATCACGTGGTCGTGAGCAAAATCTGCAGTAAAAATGTGAACTGAAAGTCATAATCTGGTGTAACTGGTGAATACCAAGGTTATCATCTTGTACTATTGATAACACAAATCTAACCTGGATTGTTTCATTGTCTATTTAAAATGTAGTTCAATTTTCTTCAATGCTCTTAAACTTTTGAGCTACTACGTTAAAAAGTTTACTGGTGCCTACTTCATTCATTTCTACTTTTCTTGTCATAGCAGCCACGAAAATGTTACATAGCTTTGAACGATATTGCTCTGGAATAGTAGGTATCGAATAATATGTACCAGAGATTACATGTCTCTTATTGTGCACACTTAGACAATCGTTCACTTCAAATTCATCTGAATATAAGGAAATGGGAATCAAAATTTCTCCTGGATACTTATTTTTAATTATTTTCCACATTTTACTAATAGCTGTTTTCTTCTTTAGAGTAATAGTATTAGAAATGGTTTCTTTTAAAATGCGATCACAACTAAAAAACGTTTTTTATTGATGTTCAACGTCCATCAAAACAATATGACCTTTTCCATTGTCAATTTCCTGGTCTTGACACATAAATAAAATTAGCACGAAATATATCAAATCCATACGCCAAAATCTATGCCAGTAGCGAAACGACACTAGCTGATTTACGTTAAAATTGGAATGCCTCGCGAGTAACGCCACTCGACCTTGCGTAGTTTCTCCCAAGGCCGAGTCCAGGGAAACCTTCGGGAAAGTTGGGGAAAGAGAGAGTGTGGCTACACCCGACTTTGAACAAGTGGCCAACGATCAGAATAATCTCTCGCATTACCGATCTCATTCGAAGAAGTTCGCGGGAAAATCGAACTTCCGTTAAGTTCGGCCGAGGTCACCTTCCCTAATCTGAGGGTCACGGTTTCGCTTCACTTTCGTCCGAACCGCAGTTTACAGTGGAAGTGTGTCGTTTTGTTCGCGTTAATGTATAGTTTTGTATAGTGAGTGAAAACAACGTGGTTTTACTTGTACTTAAATTCTAATTTATCGTTGATTGTTTAGTTATAGCAAATCAAACTAAATGTAGTGTGCGGCATATGTTAGACTTTGTGTGCATTGAAAAACAATCTAGACCAGGTAATGTGCTCGTCGAACAACCTTTGTGCTTTGTGCTTAATATTAATTTCAACAGCCGACGACTACATCCAACTTCCGACGACATCACCTACTTTCCCGGGGCGAAAGATCCCGGCAACCGTCACCTTGTCCGGTGGTAAGCGATCAAATTTCTCATCACGTATCGGAGCTCCAACTGCCATTGTTGGAGAAATCACCGTCCACCCACGTGGAAATCGTTGGCCGTCCAACGGTCGAACATCAACGTCGCTGCCGATAACAGCAGCGCAGCAAACAACAGCAGCGAAAAGCAACTGGTGAGTCCGTTCCAATTTCTTTGTTGAGTGTGGCGTCCGGCGAGGGCGCCACGGAGGACCTTTTTTGCCGACCATAAGGTCGAAGAGCATATTTTGCTAATATGTGGACAAGTCCAATGATTTAATGGTTGGGTGTAGGCAAATAAATCGTGCGCACATATCGTCAGATATGGACGCCCACCCAACCCATTAATAATAGACACCCGGGTGCCAAGCTTCGTCGTTTCCCGCTTGCTGCATCGTCGTGGGATTAACTGAGAAGACAGAAAAGAGCACAGCACAGATAGGAGGTAGCTGTACCGAACGCACACAAGTATAGGGCTAGAAGCAGTGCTGAGATTTGTCATTGACGTTGACAGACTTTCACGCGATATTGACAAAATTGTTCATCACATAGTCACTGACAGACTTGATCCTCAAAAAAACCTTCGTCAAAATCTCATTCATTTTTTCGTCAATGACAAAGATTCACCTGGTAATAAAAAGTGTAATTTAGTATATTCTGTGTCACATTATTGTTATCCAAGTAGCTCAGGACGTAGATACTTGTTCACTAAAATGGATCCATGTAATTGTTTTGCTCAAGTCATTTATGTCGTTTTCGTTTTTGCGGTGTAGCTACACCGGTGCTACACTGCCGTACACCGAAATATTTTAGGGTGTAGATATAGGATGCACCTTTGTTTATGAACAAATGATGTTGAGCTGTCAAAGACTCGCGCTTATTCCTGCTTACACTACACCAGTGCTACACCGCAAAAACGAAAACGACATTAATTTCGTAACATATTTAGCTAATAAACAAATCTGCACATGTTCGTCACTGACACCATTGTCATTGACAATTGACATGGTTTGCCTTGACTATGACTGTTAGCTCAAATGAGTGACCAAAGCAGAATTGTCAATATCACCGTGTACTTTCGAGATTTTGCAGCACTGGCTAGAAGTATAGAGAAGTAGAATAAAGAGGAGTAGAAATACAAACAATCACAACAAATCCGCAAAAGCATGCTTTAGTTTAAATACAATAAAAATCAACTTACCGTTTTCCGTTGTAAATAAATGTTTTGATTTGAAATCGATGTTATGTTGTTGATCAGTCCTATCAAATATTAGAATGAGAGGAAGAAAGTATTTTTACGTTGTTTCGGGTCCGTATAATTATGTTGTTGTCTTCCGCGTGGTCGGAATTTGACTGTTATGTTGCGTACCTCTTTTGCTGCGGCTGCGCCTCTGGCGGAATTTAAGTGAAGCTACCGATGAGGAGAACTTGACGTGGAACGTCGTTTAGGGCTTGTGTATTCTCTTACCGGGAGCTTTTTAGAAGTATTTCGATGTTGTGAGAGATTATGCTGTATCGCAATAGGGGTTTCTACTCGATCAAATTCGGTAGTAGTCAAGCTGGCGCGATCTATTCTTTCTATGAAGATTTTCAATTGGACTCGCCCTGAGGCAGTCTCATCCGGGCAAACTCAACGTGGCCTGCGGTCTCCTTTACCGGAGTGGCGCTTAAGCCTAGATCGGCCAGTGTCGGCTACAACACAACTTAACAGATGTTTGATCTTTATCAATAGCAATTGTGGAGGGAAAACGGAAATATCAAGCTTCTCTAAATACTTAAAAAAATATATAATCGGAGTCTGTGAAATCGAACGGTTGTTTGAGCCGTTCCATGTATTTGTGCATTTCAAAATCAGTCTGCGAATTTCTGTCTCTGATTAAAGTATCTTCTACCTTACTAACAATACTAGCATTTAGTTGACTCATTGTGTAATTCTAATGTAAAAGCAACTGCGGCCTTGTTAAAATCTTCTAAATTTTTAGCAAGTGCAGATATTGTATTTTGCTGATGATCGGTTTCGTCATTTCCCGGTTTAACTGTTGAAAATGTTCCTAGTGAATGTTCAGGCTGTATGCAATTTAGCTGTGTTTCATTATCAGTACTTTCTGGTTTCTCCCGGACCAGAAATTTGTGGCATCGCGAGTGAAAATTTTAATTTCTGTTTATTTACGCGGTGATGAGAAGTGCGCTGATCTATTGGAAGGGTTTTGAGATGTGCATTGCTTTTGTGCACGGAGTGACTTGAAAAAGAAAAGTGAAGAAAAGTGATATTTGGTTGTTGTGTGGTTGGAGTGGAGGGAAAAAAATATGCGTGGAAGCATCGGGAATGCGCTCCCGGGTGAAGTGATTTGGTGAGTACGTTCCAGTTGAAGATTGTTGACAAGTGTATTTGTGGTGATGCAAATTATGGTTTAGATGACGCATGGCTTCAAACATTTTGTGTATCCAAATAAAACATATTACATACTAAATACGCACAGGGCATCGTCTGCTGACCATTGCCGCGGGTATATCGTGGGAGTCCCAGGTACCCGGTTCAAGCTTTAGTTGGCGGCGGTGGCTCTTCTTGACCTTCTACCCCCTGAGTAGTTAGTGTGAATAAGGGCGTCTATGTGATGTTTTGCTGTACCTGTTGTGGACATCTAGTGCATCCTGTTCCCTTAACTTGTTGAGGACACCCTGTCTTGCCTCAAAAGTTACCCTTTTTGAAGTACTAGTCTTCACAACATAAAGGGCACCATTACGGAGCATGAGATTTGATCAAATTATTCGCAGTTCTACTTGTCCAACGCCCCCGGCTGGGTGAGGGATAGAGGATGACACACACACACACATTATCAGTACTTTCTAAACATGTATCCGGTAAAATACTATCCTCATCACGACTATCATGACGTATGCAATGACGCTTGAATGAATACCAATTAGAAGATTTCTGATTATATTCTGGGTATGTACAGACATAACGATAATTTACAGGAGTTTTGTGGTCGCTACGAAGATGTTCAATATAGTTACTGCTCGTTTCGAACGTTTGCAGACAACCTTCAATGAAGCAAGCAAACATGTTTAATTCAAAAGATACGCCTTTAAACTATTAATACACTCGTACTGCTCCTGCACTGGATCGTTGTAGAAGCACGCGGATATAAAAAGCCAAACCAGTCTTGAAATACGAGAATGCTCCAGTCCAAAAACAGCACAGAATTTAACCAGAACATCTATGGCTCTACTTGCACTATCGAATCGATAACTGAAGTCCTGGAAACGTACCTGAAACTCCCCTTCAAGAGAGTCAATACCTTTGCCGATGAATATCAGTTTCGGAGCCGGTTGAAATCCGTAATTAGAATAGTCTTCGTTGAATTTAGTTAAGACGCCAGCAGCCAAGTCGTTTGATGCCGCAAACAATATGATTTCTTCCTGAGCTGCCAAAATCGATGGCTTAAATTTTCGAGTTACCTTTGTTGGTTTTAGAACATTGTTCAGAAGCAGGAGAAAGGCACAGGTTTTAACATCTAAAATAAAAGAATATAAGTAATTCACTTCGAATCAGGCCTAAATAAAAATAACAACAGGTCACTTACCTAAGTCAAATTCTGGAGATGTTAGGCATTCCAGAATTTTCTTTGAAAAATCGTCTTTGTATGGTCGATCTAGGTATTTCACCAGTTTTGGAAACGCCAAATTCCACTTCTTAACTCCATCGTTGATACCATACATCAACCGAAAATCAACGTCAATCTTCGAAGAGAATAGAAAACATGTATGTTGTAATAACAAAAAATATGTGAAATTTAACGAAACTTGACAACATCCACACCTTGTTACATACTTATAATTAGACTACACTTCGTATGTGCGTAATGCACAAAAATAAAGCACGAAAACTGCGCTCCTAAGGCCCAAGCGCAATGATAGTAGAAGCGAAACGGCAGCAGAAAAGCCCAATCCAGATACAGCTTTATCACTATATGATCGTGGAGGTCGCGGGGGGGGGGGGGGGGGAGTACGGCTTAAAGCAAATTGTAAACAAACTCGGTCGATGTCCCATACAAAAATTCAACATGGCAACCTTGGCCCGATCTGAGGAAGCCTACTTGTTGAATAGAAAACTAGTTAGAATCCAATCGTTTTCGGTAAGGCATCTTGATGTCATTTCTAGATAAATCTCGATGAACATTTCAAATGGTCCTATCTGCTTTGATCGATTCTCTTCATCGACTTTCTCTTTCGTCAATAACTCAGCTGCAAAACCTTTCCCTGTTGTATTTGACGTTTTGGACGCTAGATAAGAACCTCCTTTATCAAACTATGTGGTAGAATTAACACGAAATCTGTTTGCATAGCAGTGGTTATGAAAAGAGAAAGTCGATTAAGAGAATCGATCAAAGCAGATAGGACTATTTGAAATGTTTATCGAGAAATATTTCAAGAGGTCCTATCTGCATTCATCGATTCTCTTCATCGACTATCTCTTTAGTTGATAACTCAATTTCAAAAGCATTCCTTGCTGTGTTCAAAATTCTAAGCGCAAGACAATAACTTCTGCTATCAAACTATATGGCAAAAAGAGCACGAAATATGTTTGCGTAGGCGTGGTTATCAAAAGAGAAAGTCGATAAAGAGAATCGATCAAAGCAGATAAAACCTTTTGAAATGTTCATCGAGATTTGTGTCCACTGTCAAACATGCCTTTTCCGTTTCGCTTCCGCCCACACTGATAAATTGAACTATTCCCATTTTGCTTGAAATTTAATCAATTTGACATTAAACTCAGTTTAATCATATTGAATGATTAAAAACTAATCCTCTCTTTCTAAAAATTAAGCATCTCATCTTAATCCCAGTTTAATCATGGTTGATTAGATTGTAGATTATCTTTTTTTGAATAAATTTTAATCATTTTTGTTTCTATTTTAATAATTTTTGATTGAATTTCAATCTTTTTTGATTATATATCAGTATTGAAAAAGAATAAAATTTAATACAATAAGAAACTCGTGGAATAAGCTTATTGGCGAGTTTCCAGGATTCATTCATGATGAATTCAATGTTGTCGAACAGGACTATCCAGCACAAGAAGATGCGGATTGTATTAATTCGCTCACGCAGACCAGTGAAACTGATGTGAAACGATGGTAGAATGACCAAATTTTAGACTCCGAGGTAATTATGGTGTGCAGAACGAGTCACGAGTATACACCGACGATGAGATTGTTAGGGGAAACGCTCCTATAGTTGCGGTACGTTAGACGCGTTAGGTTCCTATAGTTGTGTATGGATAATCAATACACAACTATAGGAACCTTACGCTCCTAACGAACCGCAACTATAGGAACGTTTACCCTACTGGCGTTCTCCGTGGTTTAGATTAATCAGTCTGCATGCAAGATGAGTGGCTAAACGACACCGACGTGAGTGCTTCAGGCTGTGCTGAACCCCGGATTTGAGCTAATGGCAGTCGACGAGGAACCGACAACAAAACAGGATTTGGCTAATGTGCTGAAATCACTTGACAAGGTCATTCAGTACGTAGAAAACGATGTTTCAGAGGTTACGTGACGCAAATCCTGGAGAACTAAGCTTATTGAAGCCGAGTGGCAAAAGCGAAAACTATAATTTCGTGCAATTTTTATTATTTTTGCATGAATTTCAAATAAGCATTCATTAAAAAAAAACACAATATAAAAAGCATTTGCTCACCCCTTGCAAAAGTTAACGTCTGGTTATGAACTTCAATTTGACAAGAGATTTTGACATCCAGTTGCTGTTTAGGTGGGTCACGGCCCAAGCCACGGCAGGCCAAGTATTGAAAGCTCAACCAGCGAATTCCGACTGTACTGAAACAACTACAAGGGACAGTTCTATGGGGTTGTACGCAATGGTGACGTAGGACTACGTGGTCTTATATAATAAATCTTATTTGTTAACTGCAGCAGGCCGACGCCGGTGGTGTAGTGGTAAGCGTGACTGCTTTCTCACCCCAATGGGTCTGGGTTCAATCCCAGCCGAGGTCGGTGGGATTTTTCTGAGGCATAAAAATCTCTGGTCACGTCTTCCTTCGGAAGGGAAGTAAAGCCGTTGGTCCCGGCCCATGTGTGTTGAATGGATGCGATGTCCTTCGCAGGTGTGGAAGCTGCCTTCCTGCACATTCGACTGCCGTCAATGGATGGCAATCGATTCCCGTCGGTGATTGGCACTAGATTGCGGAACAGAGACCGACGTTAAATAAAGGAAAGAAACTGCAGCAGGAGCTTGTGTTTTGTGTAGGAATAGGAATTTGAGCGGAGTTCTTCTGTTTATACTCTTTAGTATGACGCGCTTGACATAGATCTCCTCCTTCTATGGATGCTCATGTGGGCTGCAGCTCGCTGTTTGCAGGCAGTATTTCATTGTGTACTGAAGAATACCACCACTCACCACATGGTGTTGGAATAAACCGTTTGTTGAGACCAGATGGAATTGAACTTTGAAATCTTCGTTAGGGAAATCACTTTTCACAGGCAATATTGTGATAATTTTAACTATCATAGCAACAGTTGCACATTCGTGCGATTTTCAATAGTGACATTTTAAAAAATGATAAAGCCATAATTTTAACAGATTCGTAGAAAAAAAAATCCTATCGGTTGGCGTATTAAGAATTCAAATCCATCATCTCTGAATCAAAATCAAACCACTTTCATGCCGCGACCGACTTTGGATTTTGAAATTGCACGCCAATGTTACCTTCAAGAACATATCTAGATAGAGCTAGAAATAGGCGTAACAGCTTTTGTAAATCATAAATTCTCTCGATGGTTTTTAGGAATTCAAGGCACGCCTACGCAAACCAACATTATCGTCGGGTAGGGAAAGTTTTACCCTACCTGATGGTGATGTTGATTTGCGTGGGCGAGTCTTGACTTTCAAGACATCATCGAAAAAAGTCCTGAAAAGGACCGTTTTGTCATGATGGTTGAGTAATGCTGAACTATTAGGGTGTTAAACACAGATGATGCTGGTGAGCTGTATGTTGTTTGGAATCAGGGTGACGCGTTTGGCATAGATGGCCCACAGCGACTCACGAAGAGCTACTGATTCCGATCAATAGCGGTGCGGCTTCTTCCTCCTTTCGTTGTTTACTGGATAATAATTTCAACGCCACGCGCCGAAAGCACTGCTGCTGCTGCTGATGCCGACGACCGGACACCACCACACACGGTGATTGGAACTAAATCCGATTAGCGGTTGAGACCAGCCTTGATAGCTAGCTGCTTGCGGGGAGCCTTTCGTTGTGTACCGGAAAACATCACCACTCACTACGCGGTGATTGAATAAACACCGTTTGGTAAGACCGGATGGAATTCAACTTTGAAATCTGTGTTAGGGAAATCGCTTTTCTCAGGCAAACGGTGATAATTTTAATTATCATAGCAATAGGTTCACATTAATGCAGTTTTCAATAGTGACGTTTTTGAAAATTGATCAGATTCGATGATCTTTAATTTATCAGTAGGAATATTTCTGATCGATTGGTGATAAAATTATTGAAATTGGTCCAGGGGCAGCTGAGTTATTAACGTTCAAAATCTTTCATAATTTTGTTACATGTTCCATTTTCGCTTTTCACAAAGTGTACCCCCATATAAAAATCACAGACGTAGTCCTACGTCAAAAAAAAATGCTTTCTTCCTTCAAGAGAAGTATAAATAAAAAAAAAATACTTTAAATTTATAGTTGAATATGCATCGGACAACAACACCAATTTCATCACATTGCCCCCTTCTGATAGGGTTTTAGCTTTAATTGTTTATGTTTTGTGTCTGCTGTTTTCGATTTTGACATGAAGCGTTGGCAATGTTGTTGTGATGAAATTGGTGTTGTTGTCCGATGCATATTCAACTATAAATTTGAAGTATTTTTTTTTTAATATTATTTATTTTTTATTATTTTTTCAACGTGTGGACTATCAGTACCAAGTGAGTACCAAGTAAGTGAATTTAAATAACTTCTCATAGGAATTCGTCATTATATCCATATCCACATCCAACTTTTGGTCGACCTATACAACTTCATAAATCTTTACCATTTTTTGCACAGTTTAATATTTTGGGATTATGAATCAAACTGAAAGGAAGCCTATAAGAAAACTAACTTTTTTTTTATAAATGTGGCACCCTTATAGCAGCTCTAAAAAGCTAAAAAGCATTTTCGCTCTTTTGGAGTTGAATCGTTCGTTAAAACATGGGACAAATATAAATCTTTATTAATTAATGAAAAATTCAATTTAATCATTAATTTTATACTTATTTCAATACTTTTTTTTATTACACATGTATCTTCATGGTCACATCTCCAATACTAAACACAAGTCAATGGCTTTCACATTACGCCTGAACGGCAAATATTAGCAGTTTTTTTTAGTGATCTCGAGTAATTCAACTTTTGGTCTTTTTGACCTATAGATTTTCGACTAGTTGTCATTGACTCCAGATTCCTGCGAATCTGTTCTTCGGAATTTTGTTGAGCGGATTCGTGATAGCAAAAGCTGTTGATGAAAACGAAGAAATTTGGATCAGTTGCAATTGAATCGATATAAAAAACATAGGCAGCGATAATTTACTCATTGTCGACTGCGAAAAACTTACCACGTTCAATGTGCCCCACGGATAAACCAGTCAATCAGCGTCTAAAATTCCATGGGTTTTATTGATTCCAAAATTTCCATGTGATCCATTAGTTTGAATATCACAAAAGTT